GCAGCAGCAGCAGCAGCAGCAGCAGCAGCAGCAGCAGCAGCAGCAGCAGCAGCAGCAGCAGCAACATACGCTAGAAAAGGAGTGAGAGAGACCTTGCTGGCGCGAGAGGAGCCGATGAGGATTGCCTTGGGCTGTACAGACACCCCAGACCTCGCGCTCATTATAGTCTCTCCGTCCCTGCAACCACAAACCCTAAACCCTAAACCCTAAACCATAAACCCTAAACCCTAAACCCTAAACCCTGAACCCTAGAGCCCCCAGAAGGAACCCAAACCCTAGAAAGCAAACAGCAACAAACGCTAGTCCCGGCAACCCAACCATAAACCCTACAAACCCTAGGCCTTCTGAACAAACCCTAAACCCTAAACCCTAAACCCTACAAGCAAACCCTAAATCCTAAACCCTACACACAAACCCTAAGCTCCACAAGCCGTAAGAAAACCCTAAAGCCAAAAGGAAAAATCTAAACCCTAAACCCTAAACCCTAGGTTCTGTGTACAACCCCCTCACCGACCGCAAACCCGCGGCCCCCAAACCCTAAACCCTAAACCCTAAACCCTAAACCCTAAACCCTCGTCTCACCAAGTAGGGCGAGAGCGAGCAGGGAGCGCCGGGGATGCATGCATTGTGTTTGTGTCTCCTTTTGCTTCTTCTTCTTCCTGCAGCCGCGCCAGAGCCAGGGTCTTCTCTCTCAGCTCATCGTCTGCAGCAACAAAACCCTAAACCCTAAACCCTAAACCCTAAACCCTAGACCCTAAACCCTAGATCATAAGAAGGCTTATCAGCTGTGTGTATTCTTTCTTCTCTGTCTCTGTTTTTGTTTCTGTCTCTTTCTTGGTGTCTCTTCTTCTGTCTCTCTTTGTCTCTGTCTCTTTTGTCTCCTCTGTTTGTCTCCTTTGTCTCCTTTCTCTGTCTCTCGCTCTCTCCTTCTGCTTCTATCTCTCCCTCTGTCTCCTTTTCTGTTTCTGTCTCTTTCTGTCTCTGTCTCCTTTTTATATCTCTGTCTCTTTCTGTCTCCTTTTCTTTTTCTCTCTCTTTCTGTCTCTTCTTCTGTCTCTTTCTATATCTATCTCATTTCTCTATTTTTGCCTCTCTCTGTCTCCTTTTCTGTCTCTGTCTCTTTCTGTCTCCTTTTCTGTCTCTGTCTCAGTCTCCTTCTCTATCTCTGTCTCTTTCTGTCTCCTTTTCTGCTTCTGTCTCCTCTGTCTCTATCTGTCTCCTCTGTCTCTTTCTGTCTCCTCTATCTCTGTCTCTTTCTGTCTCCTCTATCTTTGTCTCTTTCTGTCTCCTTTTCTGTCTCTGTCTCCTCTGTCTCTCTCTGTCTCCCTTTCTCTATATCTGTCTATTTCTGTCTCCTTTTCTGTCTCCTCTGTCTCTTTCTGTCTCTCTTTCTCTATCTCTGTCTCTTTCTGTCTCCTTTTCTGTCTCTGTGTCTGTCTGCTGCCCAGCAAGAAGCTCACCAATTTCGCAGAGCCGAAATCCATCATCTTTATTTTTGCGGTTGCTGCTGCTGCTGCTGCTGTTGCTGCTGCTGCTGCTGGTGCTGCTGCCGCTGCTGCTGTCGCTGCAGCAGCTGCCGCGCCGCCGGCGAGAGGAGACAGCTGGCTTAGCTGTCTCCATAGCCGCAGTGCCTACAAGCATATATATATATATATATATATATATATATATATATATATATATATATATATATATATATATATAACAAACTCACATACACACTACACACACACTACACTAGGGTTTAGGGTTTAGGGTTTAGGGTTTAGGGTTTAGGGTTTAGGGTTTACGTTCTTGGGATCTAAGAAAGTCATCGAAGCAGTCTTCGTAGGCAGAGAACGAGTCGCTCTCCTCTACCTCTTCTGGGTCCAGCTGAAACACCATATACACCCCAAACCCTAAACCCTAAACCCTAAACCCTAACCCTGAAACCCTAAACCCTAAGCTCTAAACTCTAAACCCTAAACCCTGAATCATAAACCCTAAATATACAGCCAAAGTAAATGTGGCAAACCCTTAGAAAACATCTCGCGTAGCAAGCAAGGGTTTTAGGGTTTAGGGTTTAGGGTTTAGGGTTTAAGGATATAAGAGACAGAAAGAAAGAAACAAACCTCGCCGATGCATTCCTCTCTATACTCCTCCAGCAGCTGCTCAAGTCGTTGCCTGCAACAAACACACAAACGCCAAACCCTAAACCCTAAACCCTAAACCCTCTTAAACCCTGAACCCTCCTAGACCCTAAACCCTAATCCGTCCTAAACCGTCCTAAACCCTAAACCCTAAATATGTGCTAAACCCTAAACCCTAGTTATCACAATCCCCATACGTCTTTCTCTCTCTGTTTTTTTGTTTAGGGTTCTAGTTTTTTAGGGTTTAGGGTTTAGGGTTTGGGGTGTACGTACGCCTGCGTTTCGCTGCCTTCTGGCTGCTGGTGCCTGGCGCGTGTGTCTCCTCTGTGTGTCTCTGCTGTCTCCTCTTCTTCGCTGTAGCTGCAGCTGCAGCAGCTCTCTTCTGTCTCCTCGCTGTCTCCTTCTCTCCCCCCCCCAAACAACCTGTCTCCTATTGCTGGCGGCAGCAGCGGCGGCCTCGACCCCCACAGCAACTCTTTCTCGTCTGGCGCCTGAGACAACACAGCCACACCACAAAACTTATGTAGCTAGCTAGCTAGACAGCTAGCTACATGGATTGCTATGTCTCGCTAGCTAGCTGCGCAGCTAGCTACATGGCTTGCTATCTATCTAGCTAGCTATCTAGCTAGCTACACCACTAGCTACACAGCTAGCTATCTAGCTAGCTCCACAGCTAGCTATCTAGCTAGCTACAGGTATCCCACAGAGGACCGCATAGCTAGCTANTAGCTAGCTAGCTGGGGAGCTATATACGCGTGCAAGCACCGCACCACTCCTGCGGGCTGGTGAGACGCAGCTGGAGAGCGAAACCCCCCACCCTAAACCCTAAACCCTAAACCCTAAACCCTAAACCCTAGACGCACCCATTGCTTGCCGTCTGCGTCAGTGAGAGCTGAAGCAACAAAGTCGTCAGCAATCTCCTCGTAAGCTTCTGTCGCCTCCATAGCAGCAAGAACCTGGCTTGCTGCAGCAGGAGACAGAGAGACACACACACGCAGCAGCTGCTGACCCCTGCTGCTGCTGCTGCTGCTGCTGCTGTTGCTGTTGCTGTTGCTCGTGCTGCTCGTGGTGGTAGTGCTGCTGCTGCTTTTGCTGCTGCTGATGCTGCAGCCGGCGCAGCTGCTCCTACAAGAGACATGTAGAAGGACTTAAAGTTAAGGGTTTAGGGTTTAGGGTTTAGGGTTTAGGGTTTAGCGTTCCTTCTTTGTCTGCTCGCATGAGTGTCTCCGCTGCTTTCTCCTCTCTGGCGATTGTCTCCTTGCCGCCCTCGTGAGCCATAAAGGCACCACCACCCAGACTCTAACAAACGGAGACAGAGAGAAAGAAAAAAAAAAANAAAAAAAAAAAGATAGATAAAGAAACAGAGACAGAGACAGAGACAGCAGTAACATATACAAATAGAGACAGAGACAGAGATAGAGATAGCAGCAACACAGACAGACACAGCAGCAAAAGAGATAGAGATAGAGACAGAGACAGAGACAGAGACAGCAGCAACACATACAAATACTGCAGCAGGAGAGAAAGAGACAGAGAAAGAGACAGCAGCAACAGATAGAGAAGATACAAAAGAGAGACAAGAAAAAAAAAGGAGACAGAAGGAGACTGAAAAGATATAAAATGAGACACAAGTGAGAGAGGAGACAAAAAAGAGACAGAAATGATAAAAACAGAGAAACAAAGGAGACAGAAAAGGGACAAAAGGAGACAGACAGGAGACAAAAGGAGACAGAAAGGAGACAAGAGGAGACAAGAGGAGACACGAGGGGACAAAAGGAGACAAAAAGAGACAGGAAATGTGACAAAAGGAGACAAACGGAGACAGGAGGAGACACAATGAGACAAAAGTAGGCAAAAATAAGACAAGAGGAGACAAAAAGGAACAGAAAGGAGACAAAAGGAGACAGAAAAGGAGACAGAAAAGGAGACAAAAGGAGAAAGAAGAAGAGACAAAAAGAGACAAAAAAGGAGACAGAAAAGGGGACAAAAGGAGAAAGAAGAAGAGACAAAAGGAGGCAAAAGGAGACAGAAAAGGAGACAGAAAAGGAGACAAAAGGAGACAGAAACGGAGACAAAAGGAGAAAAAAGGAGGCAAAAGGAGACAAAAGGAGACAGATGGTTTGCTTACAACGAGGTGCTGGGAGTAGTCGTATCCATCCTGAGGGAAGTAACAGTCTCCTGTCTGTACACACAAAAAAATAAATAAAAAAAATAAATAAATAAATAAATATATAAATAAAAAAGAAATAAAAAAATGAAAAGGAGAGGGAGAGAGAGAGACAAATAAACAAAGGAAAGGATGGAGAAAAGAGAGAGAGAGAGAGAGAGAGAGAGAGAGAGAGAGAGAGAGAGAGAGAGAGAGAGANGAAAGGATGGAGAAAAGAGAGAGAGAGAGAGAGAGAGAGAGAGAGAGAGAGAGAGAGAGGGAGAGAAAGAACAAATAGAGAAACAGAGACAGAGACAGAAAAAAAGGAGACAGTAGTAATTATAACAGAGACAGAGACAGGGACAGATAAAGGAGACAAAAGGAGAGACAGAAAAAGACAAAGACAAACACAACAGGCGATGGATAATACAGAGAAAGGAGACAGACGAGACAAAGGAGACAGAAGAGACAAATGAGACAGAAGAGACAAAGGAGACAGAAGAGACACAGGAGAGAGGAGACAAAGGAGACAGAAGAGACAAAGGAGCAGGACAGAGGAGACAGATAAAGGAGACAGGGAAAGGAGACAGACAAAGAAAAGAGAGAGACAACAGATACAAAAAGGAGACAGAGAAAGAGAAGAGGGAAAAAGAGAGAAAAGAGACAGAGAAAGAGAAGAAAGAAGAAGGGAGACAGAGAAAGAGAAAAACAGAGGGAAGAGAGAAAGGAGATAGAGAAAGAGAAGAAAAGAGACAGAGAGAGAAAAGGAGACAGAAAAGAAAGAGAGAGAAAGGAGACAGAAAAGAAGGAAAGGAGACAGAAAAGAAAGAGAGAGAAAGGAGACAGAGAAGAAAAAGAAGAAAGAGAGAAAGGAGACAGAAAAGAAAGAGAGAAAGGGGACAGAAAAGAAAAAGAAAAAGGAGACAAGGAAAAAAAAGAAGAGAGAAAGGAGACAGAAAAAAAAGGAGACAGAAAAGAAAAAGAAAAAGGAGACAGCAAAGAGGGGCCAGAGCTCACCAAGTCGGGCTCGATGTGTCTCCCCCGTTGTTGCTGAGAGAATACACACACAAATAAACTAGGGTTTAGGGTTTAGGGTTTGGGGTTTGGGGTTTAGGGTTTGGGGTTTAGGGTTTAGGGTTTGGGGTTTAGGGTTTGGGGTTTAGGTCCCCGGAGCGTAAACCCTAAAAGGAGAAAAGAGGAGACAGAGAAACGACAAACCCTAAACCCTAAAAAAACAAACAAACAAAAGAAAAAAAGAGAGACAAAAAGAGAGACAGATAAAAACAAAAAAGGAGACAAAAAAAACACAAACCCTCACCGCTGTCTCCTCTTCTAGTTCTAGCTGCTCCAGCTGCTGCTGCAGATACTCAGGCAAAGGCTGCTGCGGCTGCAAACAAAACACAAACCCTAAACCCTAAACCCTAAACCCTCGAGACTCGGCACAGTGACGGCCGGCTCCCGCTGCTGCTGCTGCTGCTGCTGCTGCTGCTGCTGCTGTTGCTGCTGCAGCTGCATCTGCGTAATCTTCTTTAAGCTACTGCACAAGCCCACCACGACAGCAACCAGAGCCAGCTGCAGCAGCAAATGCTGCAGCAGCAAGTGCTGCAGCAGCAGCAGCAGCAAATGCTGGAGCAACAGCAGCAGCAGCAACTGCTTAAGCAGCAGCAGCAGCAGCAGGTGCAGCAGGAGTAGCAGCATGTGCAGCAACGGTTTACCTTATTTCTAGCATTGGGGGGTATAATCCGCTGCAGCTGCATGCGAGGCCTCTGTTCTGCTGCTGCTGCTGCTGCTGCTGCTGCTTGCTGCCGCAGCTGCTGCTGCGACACAGGCAGCAGCTTAAAGGTGAAGTTGTTTGGGTCATTCTTCTGAAAACGAACTCTGCGGCCTTTCCCCTGCTGCTGCTGCTGCTGCTGCTGCTGCTGCTGAGGTCTTGCTGCTGCTGCTGGTTCTGCGGCAGCAGCCCCCATTTCCC